GGTTTACAATGACTGCATTCTCCACTTTATTGCAGGAGGGATGCTGCCGTGATTCCTCCTGCTGCACAATGACCGACTGTAAAATACTTTCAGGATCAGCAGCTGCACTGGGGAGAACAGGAATTGACGTGTTTTCCCTGCACAGCGGAGAAGACCAAGGGACCAAGTGTTGAGTTGGGCACATGGAGGGAAGGGCCCCAGGACCTGGTGCTTAGCCTTAAGTTCCTAAGTCACGACATTCACCATCCAGCCTTGTTGCTGTGGTGGGAAAGGAGCTCCAGGTAGCCATTTATTTCACTTAGAAGTGGTGACTAAAAGAGCCCTCAGATTCTGGGTGACGTGAACGCTCACAGGTACCTCGGGAGGGTGGGAGTAACTGCAAACTACCTAAGACATCCTTGCTTTCTAAGTCCCAACATGAGTGTTGGACAACCGCAAAATCAAATCTTCAATAATAACTTTCTCACATAAAGCACAGTTCTGTTAAAAAAAAGGCAAAGGTAGGAACAGATGTTCCACAAATCCTGAAGGAGACCTGATTTTCTTTATATTAATTAATAATATGCTTTTGCTAAAGTCCCCAGCTAAGTTAAATCATCATTAGCACAATCACAGAATAGGACAAGTATTTGTCTTTACTAATCCTCCCCAGTCCTTCTCAACTCCACTCATTTAGATTTCAACAGTTGAACCGATTTTTCCCTGTTCAATAGATGCATTGTATTGACTCCTGAGTCCAAATGTTCCAGGTAACTCTGGTCTATTCATAAACTCACTCAAGGAGACGGCAACATTCTCGTTTTCAGAATTGCTACAGAAACCCCTTCAACGTGAGGCAAGTGTTCATGGCACTTTAGTACATAAATGGCCAGATTAAATCTTTTTTTCTTTTACAACTTTCCCATCATTGTTTAAATTAACATCCAACTGAGATAAATTTCACATATCATAAAGTTCACCTTTCTAATGTGAATTCAGTAGTTTTTAATGTATTAACAGAGTTGTACATCCATCACCACTATCAAATTCCAGAATATTTTCATCACCCCAAAAAGAGATCTCATTATGATATGTCACTGTAGGTTCATCAACTGTAATAAATGTACCACTCTGGTGGAGGTGTTGATAATGGGGATGCTGTGCATGTGTGGGGGCAGGGAGTAGATGGGAAATCTCTGTACCTTCCTCTCAATTTTGCTGTAACTCTAAAACTGCTCTAAAATGTAATGTCTTAAAGAAAAAAAAAAAGAAATCTCATACCTATTAGCAGCCACTTCCTACTCTGCCCACCTCCAGCCCCTGGCAACCACTAATCTACTTCCTATCTCTATAGATTTGCCTATTCTGGAATCATACAATATGTGGCCTTTAGTGTCACTTTTCTTTCACTTAACGTAATGTTTCCAAGTTTTATGTATATTGTAGTATGCATCCGTGTTTCATTCCCTTTTGTAGCTGAATAATATTCCATTGTATGGCTATAACACATCTGTTTATCTATTCACCAGGGGAAGGACATTTGGGTTGTTTCCACTTTTTGGCCATTATGAATAATGCTGACATGGACATTGGTATACAAGTTTCTGTATGAACATATGTTTTCAATTTTCCTGGGTTATATCTAGGAGGGAATTACTGGGTCATATGGTAACTCTACGTTTAACTATATGAAGAACTACCAAAATGTTTTCCATAAAGGCTGCACAATTTTACATTCCTACTAGTACTGTATGAAGGTTCCAATTTTTCCATATCCTCACCAATACTTGTACTTTTCCTTTAAAAATATATAACAGTCATCCTAGTGGCTGTGAAGTGGTATCTCACTGTGGTTTTGATTTGCATTTCCCTCATGACTAATAATGGTGAGCATCTTTTCTTATGCTTATTGGCCATTTGTATTTCTTTGGAGAAATGTTCAAATCTTTTGTCCATTTTTAAATTAAATTGTTTCTTGGTTTTGAGTTGTAAGAGTTCTTTATATAATCTGGATACTAGACCTTTACTGAATATATGATTTGCAAATATTTTCTCCCATTCTGTGGGTTGTCTTTTCACTTTCTTGATAGTGTCTTTTGATGCACAAAGTTTTTAAGTTTGATGAAGTTCAATTTATCTATTTTTCCTTTGGTTGCTTGTGCTTTTGGTGTCATATCTAAGAAATAGTTGCCTAATCCAAGGTCACAAAGATTTACCCCTGTTTTCTTCTAAGAGTTTTATAGTTTTAGCTCTTATATTTAGGTTGTTGATCCACATTGAGTTAATTTTTGTACATTGTATGAGGTAGGAGTCCAACTTTGTTCTTTTGCATGTGGATACACAGTTGCACAAGCACAATTTGTTGTAAGGACTATTCTTTCCCCATTGAATGGCCTTAGCACCCTTGTCAAAAATGAATTGACGGGGCCAGCCCCAAGGCTTAGCGGTTAAGTGCATGCGCTCCGCTACTGGCGGCCCGGGTTCGGATCCTGGGCGCGCACCGACGTACCGCTTCTCCGGCCATGCTGAGGCCACGTCCCACATACAGCAACCGGAAGGATGTGCAACTATGACACACCACTATCTACTGGGGCTTTAGGGGGGGGAAAAAGGAGGAGGATTGGCAATAGATGTTAGCTCAGAGCCGGTCTTCCTCAAAAAAAAAAAAATGAATTGACGATAGCCATATAGGTTTATTTATGAACTCTCAATTCTATTCCATTGATCCATATGTCTATATTTATGATAGTACTACAATATTTTGATTACTATAGCTTTAGAGGAAATTATAAAATCGGGAGATGTAAGTCCTTAAAGTGTCCTTTTTTCAGATTATTTTGGCTAGTCTGAGTCCTTCGCATTTTCTTATAAATTTTAGAGTTAGTTCATCAATTTCTTCAATAAAAGCAACTGGAATTTTGATAGAGACTGGGTCGAATCTTAGACAAAGTTAGAGGTATTGCCATGTTAACAATATTACATCTTCCAATCCATGAACATGGGATAACTTTCCATTTACTTAGGTCTTCTTTAATTTATTTCAATTATGTTTGGTAGTTTTCAGTGTACAAGTCTTATAACTTCTTTTGTTAAATTGATTCCTAAGGATTTTATTCTTTTTGAAACTATTTTAAGAGGAATCATTTCTTTTCTTTTTTCTTTTTTCTTTTTTTTTTTTGCTGAGGAAGATTCGCCCTGAGCTAACATCTGTCACAAATCTTCCTCTTTTTTTGTACTTGAGCCACCACCACAGCATGGCCACTGACAGATAAGTGGTGTAGGTCCACGCCTGGGAACCAAACCTGGGCTGCCAAAGTGGAGCATGCCAAACTTACCCACTAGGCCACCAGGGCTGGCCCTGGAATCACTTCTTAATTTCAGTTTTGAATTGTTCATTTCTAGTGTATAGAAATACAAATGATTTTTGTTTAATGATCTTGTATCTTCCAACATTGCTGAATTCCATTTATCAGTTATAACAGGTTTTGTGTGTGTGTGTGTTTGTGCATTCCTTAAGATTATTATACACAAGATCATGTCATCTATGAATACAAATAGTTTTACTTCTTTCTTTCCTATCTGGATGTCTTTTTTTCCTTGCCTAATTGCCTTGGCTAGAACCTCCAATACAATGCTAAATAGAAATAGTGAGAATGAACATCCTTGTCTTATTCCTGATCTCAGGGGGAATGCTTTCAGTATTTCACCATTAAGTATAATATTAGCTGTGGGTTTTTCACAGATGCTGTTTACCAGGTTGGGGAAGTTTCTTTCTCTTCATTTTGCTTGTTGAGTGCTTTACCATGAAAGAATTTTGGATTTTGTCAAATGATTATTCTGTGTCTATTGAGATAATCATGTTTTTCCCCCTTTATTCTATTAATATGTGTATATTACACTGATTTTTCATATATTAAACCAAATTTTCTTTCTTGGGATAAATCCCATTTTGTCATGGTGTATAATCCTTTTTATATGTTGCTGAATTAAGTTTGCTAGAATTTTCTGGAGATTTTTACATCTATATTTATAAGAGATATTGGTCTGTAGTTTTCCTTTCTTGTGATATCTTTATCCAGTTTTGGTTTCAGGGTATAGATTACTCTTTTTTCATTTAAGTTTTGTGATAGTGGTCTAAACATACGTCATAATTTTCCTGCACTTTTTGTACGTATGAAAAAATTTTTTTACACTGCGTTTATTTTCCATCTTAAGGTCTAATACCTGTGCAGTCTATAGAGGACTGGAACTATTTTTCTTTTATCCACACAAATAGGCACCTGGTACAACAATCAGATTGGATAAAATAGTTACACACCGTTTAATACGGCCATAATGTTTTCCTATGATAACTCCTATATGGTTATCTTATAGGCAAAGGCTTTCTTCTCTCCCTAATCTCACCATTCTCTGGCTACTAATTTTACCACTCTGTTAAAGCCCCTTTACATACTACCTTCCCCATGAACTTTCTCATAAAGGACCTCTTTCTCCTCCAAGCTCCTATGCACTTATTTTTGAAACATTCAATAGTGCATGTACATGTTTTTGTTGATGATTTTTGTGTTTTTTGTTCCCTGAGAGATTTCAACTCTGTTTATACTTTTAATTCATCAGTAGTACTTAATAAGTACCTTGTCTTGAGTTCACACTCAATATACGTTGTTTTAATAATTTTATTGATTCATCCTTGATATAATACCCAGGAATGCCAAGAGATATATAAAATTATTTATAATGCCACTGTCTTCAAGCTCATCAAGTATGAATAAGTAATTGTGAATTTTAATACATGCCAAGGTTTCCACCTAGTCAACAATTATATAGACAAATTCAAAGCACATAAAAAGGATCTTTTTCACTGAAGGCATATTATATCATCTTACCATATGGCACAATAAGAATTAGAACCTGGGAAAAATAAATTATGTAATAGGTCGTTATTTAGAAAACAATGCAAGGTAAAATTATGCTCTTTTTCCCTTGCAGCGACTTGCTTTTCCAAGAATAACCGCAAGTACCTGGTGTCAGCAGTATGACCGAGGTGACGATCAGGGAGCAGATGACCAGAATCACAAGCAGTGCGATCGCTATTCCTTTCCAGTTTCTTTGTGGAGGATTGCTCCCCACCAGCTCCTAAAAACAACACCATGAAAGAGAAACCCAGTGAGTGAAGCAGGGAAATAAAATAAGCCAAATAAGTACATTTCCTTTAAATTAAGAACCAAGACACAAAACAGCGAGCCATGAGCAGTGAGCAAGGCATATTCTCATCCTGGAAGCTACAATTATCTCCTTTTTCTACCTGTCTGCCTCAGCGTCCACAAGCCTCAGGCTCTCTTCCCTGTACCATGGCAAAACCTCACCTCAAGAAAGAATCTGATGTCATATTATGTTTACAGCTTTTGTGTGAACCTAATGTTTCTCCACCCAATAAGCTAGGTTCTACAGCAGAGGCTAACTGCGGAGTTTCTCGTCATTCCACCCAACCCATTAGCCCCCATGGAATAAAACCCACGTAGGATTAATTCTTCCAGTCCAAGCCCTCTCTCATTTTTCTTTTTATTTACATCCAAACTGTTCACTCCTATTTCAGGCTACCAAATTCAAACATTTATTTAGCACATATCATGTGCCCATTTTAATCAACCTCAGCCCACCGCTTATATCTTGAGCCTGTTCTTCCTTCCATAGCTCCTCACACAGGCTTCAAGATTTCCCAGGTCTGTCTTCACTGGGTGACTCACTTATCCCTGTTCTAGGTTTTAGTGCCCTCTAGGTAACCATATCTGCATTGTTTCAGGGGTTGGTGTTGGGGGCTGAGGGGGATCTTGGAGACACTGCTAAAAGCTGAATAAATCTACGGAATTAATCAGGCATATTGGCTGCTGAACCCAAACTTTCAGTTCCTTTCAAATTAGGGTGATCACACAATTTTTATTCCAATCGGGATCCTTTGAGAGACAAAGGGGGTAATATTAATAATGATTAATAAATATAATAATTCATGTTAATAATAATTATTAATTATACAAGAGCAACTGGGACTCTCCAGGGCAAATGAAACATACTGTCACATTGCAAATGGACTAGTGCTACTTCTGCCTATACACAGATCACAAAATAGCCTCTCTTATAGTGCCCACCATTACAACTCATCTTAACTCCAAGTCAAGGCAGAGTGGAATGGAGATAACCTCAAAGAGCAGAAAGCACAATAGATAAACATATCTTCACCCAAGAGCGAAAGTTCATTAGAATGTATCACATTGTTGCGAATCAAAATAAAGAGAATACTCAACCCTGGGATGGCAAATAATTAATATTTGACATTCACATATTTAATATTGGCTAAGTTATCAAATTAAGAAAAATTCTGAGGGCCAATAGAGTTTTAGCAGGAAAGAGTTCTACAGTTGTTTAGAAATTTCTATCAGTCTTCTTATTTGACATCCAGAATTTATCTATTGAGAAGTAGCTTTTTAGCACTTAAAAAGGGAGACTAAACATAAGCATGAAATTACGACAAAAAGTCACACTGAGTCAATCTCATCTCCTATTGGATGAGGTTTTCTGTGTGAGAAGATCACTGGCAAATGACAGGAAGTGATCAGATTTGGCTGACTCAGCAGACTTTCACTTCATCCAAGTTTACAAAGAACATAAGCCCTTCTCATCAAATTTGTGAATCGCATAAATCTTGAAGCAGACTATTCATATGATCATCACAGTGTATACAATCTTTCACAGACCCTAGTGGACATTTCTGGAACACTGTTCAGATTAGGTCCCAGGGTAACCATCAAAACCAGAATGTTTTAATACTCAAGACCAAATCTTATTCAAGATCCAGAATGATAAAATTAATGTTATTGTCTTCATCAGGTCAAACAAGTGATATCTTTTGAATCTTGTTTCTAAAAAGAATAATCTAGAATTCTAATTCTGCTTTAAACACATCTATTATATTCACTGGCTGAAGTTTATATGCACAAAAAAGACTAGGATTTTTGCTTTGCATCAATTTCTTGACCAGCTAGTAGTATAACCTATTTACTTGTGTGATTGAACAAATGTTGCAGTGACAGAAGTCCTTCTGACACTCCCAGTGTGCTGCTCCCTGACCCAAACCCATCCACAATATGATGTCCAGGTCTAGGCTGGATATTGTCAGGTGTAATGATACAGAGTGTGTCTACAAAGACGACCAGAAGATGGAGACGTGTGCAAAACTCGTCATGTGAAGTAAGGTTGAAGGAAGTGTTCAGCCTCAAAACCCAAATATTTAGAGTCTTCATCTATTTGGATTATCACATGGAAGAGAGAGAAGGCTTATTCTGCAGAAAGTAGAGCTCCAGAAGGTAGAGTTAGAACCAAAAGGAAATTTCAGAGGCAGAATTGTGTATCACTAAAACTTCAGAATTTCTAACCATTAGTATTGCCTAAGAATAGAATGGGCTGCTTCACTAGGAAGTGAGCAGAGTGGATGAACCTCTAACAAGGATCCTGTTGGGAGGGCCAGTCCTCCAGGGAGGAAGGTGGAAATAAATGATCCTAAAAATGCCTAATATAGCATAAGTTCTACGGATACATATAGGATGGAAAAGAGAGGTAAAACTGTGAAGTTGCCACTGTAGGGGGAAAAATGAATGAGAGTCAAGATACGCCCGGAAAGGGGACAAAGGCTCTGCTTCCTCATGCTCACTGGACTCAGAAAAGAGTCTGCACAGAAAACCAATTCAGTACATATAATTGAATGGGAGAATGCACAATAGATAACCAAACAGGCATTGATAGCATAGCCCACTTAAGTGAAGTGATTCTGGATCATTTATGCCATTTTTTTAGAGTTCAGATTCATTATATTGCCTTTCTGGCAATAGTTTTACATTTAAAAAGCAGAGTAATTTTATCCATAGGAAAACAGACATTAAAAATTCCATTTTCATTTGACAAATTTCTTTTGTTTTTTGCTGAGGAAAATTTGCCCTAAGCTAACATTCATGCCAATCTTCCTCTGTTTTTCAAGTATGTGGGCTGCCAGCACAGCATGGCCATTAACAGAGCAGTGTAGGTCCACTCCTGGGAACTGAACCTGGGCCGCCGAAGCGGAGTGTGCTGAACATAACCACTAGGCCACCAGGGCTGGCCCACCAAATTTCATTTTTCACAATACAGGTGAATTTTTTTTTACTACACAAACAATATTGTAACGACAATAATAGGAAACAAATTAAAGAGGAAAAAAAATCATGAACAATCTTGCTAATCCAAGGAAATATAACTTTTCATTTTTTTCCATCTTTCTTTCTAGTCATGGTCTATACGCACATTTAATTTTTACATAGGTATAACCAGAGCATAGATATGGCTTTTGAGTTAGAATGCAGGTTAATATGTGCTTCTTTGAACATCTAATTTGGCTCCCCAAATTCAGACTTCCTCATCTTAACTTGCAGAAGTTGAATTACCAAAAAATTGAGTAGAACTGACCCTGCTTCCCATGAAGGATAAGAGAAGTTAACAAATTATTCCCTGAAATGTTGAGCTTCAGTAGCGCATTTCTCAGTGGAATTATATGTTTTTGTCTAGAATGGTACAAATAAGGCTATAAGATGTTCCCTGTTCTGTTTGGTATCACACGCATACCTCGGAGAGCCAATAAAATGGAAAAGCATGTTTGCAGTTAACCATTTGGTTTTAAAGGTGAACAAATCTTCCTTCCGTCCCTCCATCCGTCCATCCATCCATCCATCCATCCATCCATCACATATTGAGCCAGGGCTGACTCTGCCAGGTCTGTTCTGAGAACCTTGGGTATAGTAGTGAACAAACTGTTATCAACCCAACAAGTTGAATGGCTTTCATTTTTCCATATTCCTTTCTTGTATTCTACTGCAGGGACAGGGACAAACAATAAACAGATAAACCCACTAAGAGAAGAAGAATAAAACAGGACAAGGGGGTCCTGCGGGCTGTTTGTAAATAAGGAAGTCAGAGAGATTTCCTAGTAAGTGACATTTGAGCAAAAACTAAAAGTGCAGCTGGGAGGAAGCACATCAGGCTGCTATGGACCGAACTGTGTCACCCCTAAACTCATATGTTGAAACTCCAGCCCCTAATGTGATGGTATTTGGAGATGGGTCTTTGGGAGGTAATCAGGGTTAGATGAGGTCATGAGGGTGGGGCCCCCATGATGGGATTAGTGCCCTTATAAGAAGAGACAGGGAGAGCTTGCGTCCTTTCTCTCTGCCCACGTGCATTGAGGAAAGGCCGTGTGATGACACAGTGAGAAGGTAGCCGTCTGCAACCCAAGGAGAGAGGTCTCACCAGACACTACAGCCTGCACCTTGACCCTAGACTTCAGTCTCCAGACTGTGGGGCATAAATCTCTGTTGTTTAAGCCCCCAGTCTATGTATTTTGTTATGGCAGCCCCAGACAGAGTGAGACAGGGGCTAGGTGTCTTCCTAGGCCTCAGTTTATTGGTCCTGGGGCTCAGGACACATTTATGTATCCCTCTTGCATTTGAGCCCTCTCTGAGCCTCTTGGTTTCTATTCTCAAGAAAAAAGCCCTTTGCACATCACTAGGAAGCAAGTCTACCTGTTTCTCTCTACCTCTAAAGCAAGTGTAGGTTCTTCCCTACTCTTTGCTCACAGCTTATTGCTCCTGGAGCAAGTTATTCCCTTCTACGTTCTCCATCCCCACAACTTTGCACATAATCTTTCTGTTTCCTGGTATTCCTCTCTCTTCATTTTATCAGGGAAATCCCTTTGTATTCTTTAGTTGTCAGCTAAAATATCATCTCTGACATCCGGGAAAGCCTTGCCTGGTTTCACAGGCAGAGTTCATTATTCTCTCATCTGGACACAATTGCAACACTTTGTAAACGCTTTTCTGTAGCATTATTGCACTATTAAATTATGTATTTAATGCCTGTGTCATCACAGGCTTCGAGCTACTTGAGGACAGCTGCCGTGACATGTTTGTGCTCCCAATGCCTGGTATAAAACCTGGGACACCACAGCTGAGTGAGACTATGCTGAGTGGATGAATGAGTGGATGAATGCCTTTATAAGAAGTAACTTCATTATTTGCTGGCCCTTCTGGCAGAAAAGCAATTGTTGATTGACGCAG